CACCGGCCACCAGCAACAAGCCGGACTGGGGTTCTGTGGACCCTGGTATAGCTGCTTGCAGTCTCCACGCCACCTGCTGTGAGCAGCCCAGTCTCTATAGCATGCGACAGGGGCCTGCCCATAGCCTGAACTGGCTGTGGCAGGCAGCCAGGAGACTGCAAGCAGCAGCGCTTACCCTGGCTTGGCTTGTTGCTGGCGGCAGATGCATGCATACCTCAGCAGACAGTGGAGAAGGAGCTAGGGCTGCGCTGTCACAATAAGGATGGGGCCCCACGTGGCTCCCTGGCTGCCTGCCCAGAGGCACGCATTCCAAAGAAAGTACTTTTGCATGCCATGCTCTGTGCCAGGGGTTGCTGACCCCTGGTTAGAGCCTCATAACTCACTTGTGAAAGAGCTCTTTTATATGTAGGCATCACAGAGCATTTCAGTCATTTGCCCAAGGTTACGTATTTAGTCAGGAGCAGTCTGCAGAACTGAACCCCAGAGCCTGGACTGCAGCTCTGTTCTCTTACACAAGCCAACAGCCCAAGGCAGCAGTTACTTTAGATTGGTTTGTCTTTCAAACAAGGAAAGGTATAATGGTAGCTGATTCTGCAAGGCCTTACCCAAGCAAATATCTCATTTAAAGCTCATTTGTCTGAGGAAATGCACATACAATATTACTATATGCTACCGTGTTTTATGAGTGCCTGACAGCTGACATTTTTTTGCCTCCCAGGTGTCAGTGCAATACCACTGGAAAAGGACCATGTTGAAGAAATGGTAAGTAGCCATAGTTCACAATGTGAATTCAGCATATAGCAGTCAAAAAAGTGCTGACCAGGTGTAACCACCTGGAAGAAATTCTGTATGCAAAGTTTTCTCACAGTGCTGACTATGATACTAACTATGCCTTTGGCATCCCATTTTCAAAAACCTCACTGAAGCCCTACTGACTTTCAGTAGGCTCCTTGGGCTTCTAAATGACTTAGGTGCTGTTGAAAATGTTACTGTGTAAATGCTCAAAAAATATTAGACATGCTTATTTAACCAACAGGAGTGTAGCTGAATCACAGAGGGTGATACTGCAAACTTAAAGCAGCTTATGAATTTAATATTGCTGTCAGGTGAAATGAAAATGGATTACTGCTGTAGCAGGGGCCCTATCTGTGGGGAACTCCTCAGACTGCCATCTCTGGAAGGAAGTGATCCGTACCACTATAATAAATAAATGGGAACTGATGCCGGAATCACTTGTCTGCTGGCCACCAGTTTTTCCTCAGTGGCTTTTTTTCCTCATGGGAGAGTCTGCCACAAAAATGTTTTCTTCTCTCCTTGCAACTAAACCTCCACGATGGCACTGACTTATGGCAGGGGTGTCCAGCTTGCTTCCCCCCAACCCCAGGCCAGATCCAGACTATGGGAATCCTTGAGGGTCAAATCCAGACCCCCTTTGAGTGGCAGTAGCAGCAGGATGAATGACCTCAGAGAGCTGTGGAGGATTAATCCATCTGTGGGTTCCCCTTCTGCTTCTAAAAGAGAAGCCCAGTGGGGCTCCATACCTTGGATTTCAGGGGTGGACCCCATCCCTTTTTATCTCACTCCTGAATTCCCACGCATTCCAGGAGCCCCCAGGGGCCAGATCATGTAGCTCCATGGGCCAGATGTGACTCACAGGCCATGTGTGTGACACCTCTGATTTAAGGAAATACTGATGTCCTGGACCAGAGAGAGATTTTTGGTTGTGAATCATTAGCTCTGTGTGGAACTTGAACTAGTCAGAAGCCAACCACCCTTGTATAGTTTCTGTGACTAGGCCTCCAAGTTCTTAAATGATATTATATTATTTTGTCTTAAAAAGCTATTTTAGATCATTTTGTTTAAAAGTTTTCCATATTTTAATTGTTCCTCCCTCCTTGCAAGGACTGTAGAGTGCAACTCACGGTACTAAAGAGCCAGATTAAAATTAAAAGAAAGATACAAGGATAAAATCTTTCTAAAATATTTGTATGAGCTATTTCAAATAGTTTGTGAAATCTGTGGGCTCTACAGAATAATTACTGGCACTCAAAGGAGGGATGCCATTTCAGACACATCCCTGTGCTTAGCATTTTTTATGGGCTTCCTCCAGGTTCCCTGAATTGCTCTTTGGAGGTGCCTCTGTCTTCACAATCTCTGTATAGAGAGCCTAGGTGTCTAACACTGAATTGCTCCTCCATTGGCTGTCTAAGGATTCTAAATGCTTAACCCTGTCTGTTTTGGATTGCTCTCCAAACAAGCACCTAATTTATAGGCATTGTAACATCCAAGTAGAGGTGACCAACCTGGATCTGCAAGTCAGTAGCAAATCTGAGTGTTGGACCCAAATCTCTACTTAAACCAATAGACACATTCCCTCTCTTTTTCAAATAATTACAAAATAGCCAGCCCTTGTAGTTGAAGATGTTGCTTTCTTTATTATTTGTGTGAGTAGAGTTTAGTAGATGAGATCAGAGTTGTAGTGTATCACAGTCCATTATGCAAATAGACAAAAGATAAGAGAAGGGAAGAGTCATGATTTTACAGCTGTGGAATTGAGGTACAGAAGGATTCAAGTCACACATGAAGTCTCCAGGACTGCTGGGAAATGAGTCCTTGTCCAATGCCCTAACCACAAACATTCCCTGCTTTTTCATGGTGCGTGGTTAGACATATACAGTAGGGCTGTGAGAAGCTTCGGTCCCTGATTCAATTCAGAGGAGATTCAGCCTGATTCGGTGGCTGAATCTCCAAATCAAATCAGAGGACCCTTTAGTCTCTCCAAATCAAATCGGAACCCTCCAAATTGATTCAGAGAGATTTGGAAAGATTTGGAGATTCGGACATAGCCACAACTTTAAATGTTTTTTCTACATACCTCTAGGTAGCAGGGGCTCGTGATTGCTGCAATGTTGGGGTGCATGGAGTGTCCCGCAGACCCGGAAATGGACCAGAAGCACTTCCGGATCCACCGGGAAGCGTGCTGGGGGCCCCCCCTGCACCCCCCAGCTCAGCGACTGGTGCCTCCTCGGTTTGGGGCGGGCACCTGGGGTTCCCCTGCTGATTGCTGAACTGGAGAGGCGTGGGGGGCCCCCCCAGCATGCTCCCTGGCAGACCTGGAAGTGGATTGGAAGTACTTCTGGTCCACTTCCAGATTCGCCATCAAGCACATGGAGGGCCCCCCATACTCCTGCTGGACACTCCATGCGTCCCAGCATTGCGGTGATCACGAGCCGCGCCTGCTACCTCAAGGTACATAGAAAAAACTTTTAAAGCTTTGTCTATGTCTGAATCGCTGATTCTCTGAATCAGCATCGAATCTTCAGATTTGGATTTGGCCAAATCAAATCAGGGACAGCGATCGAAATGAACAAATCGAATCACTGTCCCTGATTTGGACTGAATCTGAATCCAAATAAAATAGAGCTCACTTTGCACACCCCTAATATACAGAGCTTGTTAAAGGCATACAGTAAAAATGCGCTTTCCTTCATCTGTTGGTTCTTCTAGGTAACACGATGTATAGTGGAAGTTCTTTCTAATGCTCTGTTGAAACCAAATGCTCCACCAATAAATCCTCAGTGCAAAGAGATCCTCAAGAAGAGTAAGTACAGTATTAAATAAATTAGAGATGCTAATTGAGTCACTGCTTTTGCTGATAAAGAGTTTGCTCAATTTGACTATTCATTTTATAAACAAAATAATTTTTTATGCATTCTCATTTTAAAAGGGGTGATCTTTCATCATTTTAATTTTCTGTATATTAGAATGCCTTAAAACTTGATAGTACTTCTTAAAATGGCAACAGTAATTTTATATCGTCTTTTTATAAGCTCTGAACTGTACCTACATTTTTAAAGGGATATGAAAAGCCATTCTTTTTTCCTGTTGCCCCCAAATACTAAGATAGAAGACTGTTGCTCTTTTTAAGTTGAACAGGAACTTACTCTTTTGTTTTCCTTATTGGTAAAGGCCCAATCTTGCACCTTGTACTGATATGAGTGGTCTTTATTTAAATGAGCAGTCCCACTGAAGTAAAGTGGACTGTATGTACAAGTAAGGAATATGCACCCACTACAAGTTTCAGCAACTGGGCACTTTATTGATATAACTGGAAAAAAATAAAGTTCAGAGTGCTTGCTACTCTGCATTAAGAATAGTTGAACTGTATGCAGGACTGGCTCCATCTAGCTCAGGTTAGCTACAAGAAAAAGTTCTTGTGGAATTCACTGCTGTAGGAGGTGGTGGAGGCAGATAACATAGCCAGGTTCAAACAGGGACTGGTATACATTCACAGATGATGAACCCATTAATCGCTATTGAACAGAATGGCTGGAGATCTGGCATCTCTAAACCAATAAATGGTGAATGCCAGGAAGGATACCGAAAAGGGGATAGATCAGTCTAGAGCAGGGGTGCTCAACCTCTGGCCTGTAGGCCAGATCTGGCCCCTGGTACCATGTCATCTGGCCTGCAGGGCTCCCAAAGGGTCTGGAAATGTGGTATTTCCATCTTACCAAATCTTCAGACCTATGGGGAGCCCTGGGCCTTGCACATGGGTGCCTGATCCAAGTGTGCAAAGCTAAGCAGGAGCATTGTCAGGCCCCAGGGCTCATCTGGGTGTGGGAGGCCAAGAGGAATCCCAGTGTGCAAAGGGTGGGAGGGGGCATGGTGCTGTGATGCAGGACCCAGTCTCATCATGCACTGAGCGGGAAGAGGTGGTGCTGGGCTCCACTGCCCAATCAGCATGCAGGGTGGGTTGGGGGCAGTGCCAGGCCCAGGACCCAGTGGAGCCCACAGACAGGCCCTGTGCCACTCATCTGGCCTGTGGGGCCAAAAGGTTGAGCACCACTGTTCTAGAGATATCGGTTTGATGCTCTCCCTGTATAATAGGGACACTTCTGTCACTGTCAGAGACAGAATATTGGACTAGATGGACCACCAGTGTGACCTAGTATGGCACTTCTTACATTCTTATGCTCAACTACACAATTGCCCGTCAAGAACGATGGAGGTGGGGAGTGGATGGGGACAGAGCCCTGGGCTCTCCCCCATCTGGGCCTGCTCCTTCTTCCGTCCTGCTGCTTGGGGTCCGGGCCCGCTCCCCACCCCCGCTGAAGTGGTGGGGGGAAGGGAGGAGCGGGCCTGGGCCTGATGTGGGGAAGGACTGGGCCCTGAGGGTGGGGAGAAGCCGGGCCACTGCGGCGGCTCTGTTGGGGTGGGCCAGGCTGGGTCCCCCCCTCGCCACCCTGCCATGGCAGGCCAGATTTTTCCCCTGCTCAGGCTTGCTCCCCCCGTCATGTCAGGCCCAGGCCCAGGCTCAGTCCTTCCCTGGCCCCACTGTCACCTACAATGCCATGGTGTGCCCGCTCCTCCCCCCCCACCCCCCCATGTCAGGCCTGCTCAGGGATGGGAGAAGTGGGCTCAGGGCCGACACGGGGGAGGGGAGTGGGGGAGGAGTGGGTCCGGCACTGAGAGGGGGTGGGGAGAAGGACCTCTCCTTCCCTCCCCCAGCCACCGCTGCTGCTGCTGCATCACTTTTCACCACTTTGGTACTACAAATTCAAAGATTTTGAAAAGCTTTTTTTTAGAGGTGCACCAATACATTGGTCCCATATCAGATTGGCACCGATATAAGGAAAATTGGCTGTATTGGCAATTGGCTTTTTTTGGCTGATAATGCCACCAATAAATGCCCTGTGCATGTGCACAGCTTCAGTGAAGCACACAGATGGCCAGAAGTGCAGCCCCACAACAGAGAGAGCAGCCAGGTCTGGCTGGTAAGTCTGTTGGGAGGGAAGGGGCATGGGGTGGGGTAGATCAAGGCCGCCGTGGTGAGGGAGAGAGTGGGGCTGCACACACCCCAGAAGGCCATGGAGGCCATGTTGGGCTGAGGCTGGGGCAGGTGCTGCACAGCCGGGGCAGGTGCTGCAAAGCCAGGGCAGGGCATGGGATGGAGCCGCAAGTAGCTCATTCAGGGAGTGCAGGGGGAGGCAGTTCCCACCACTGCACATATCCTGGGAGGGCTTGAGGGGCGTGTGCCCCTTGATCTGTGTGTGCGATGAGGGTGGGCTGCCGCTGCGAGCTTAGGCTGGTCTCTTCCCGGCAGGAGGCTGTGCCAGGCTCTTTTCTGGTGGAGGCTGGGCCAGGCTAGGCTGTGCTCAGGAAGGGGGCCGGGGGGACTACGGTGAATTTTGGGGTGGCTGCAGTCCCCCCCCATAGCCCCCTTCCAGCACTACTACTACCCACCCTGAGCGCAGCCCAGCCAAGCCCCCCCTGGCCCCAGCCCACAGTGGCAGTCTGCCCTTGCCCAGTGCACAGATCCAGGGACACATGACCTCCATGGCCTTTTGGGGTGTATGCAGCGGTGGGAGCTCCCCACCCCCGCGCTCCCTGAATGAACCACTTGCAGCTCCGTCCTGCACCCCGCCCCAGCCCCACTCCTTCCCTTACCACTGGGGCCTCGATCTGCCCCCTTCCCTCCCACATCCCTTCCCTCCCGCCTCACCCCTTCCCTGACAACAGACTTATCAGCTAGACACTGCTCCATGCTGCCCAGCTGCATATTGGCATTGGCTAATATGGCTCATTAAAAATTGGCCATTGGTGTCAGTGCACCCCTGCTTTTTTTAAATAGAATTTTTTGAAAAAAATTGAATAGATTATAACAATGTTAGTTCTATTTATTAGGGCACTTGAAATCATCTTAACTTGCATGGAGTTGAACAGTTAAGAACTGGCTTTTAAAGGTGTGAAGAAACCAGAGCTCCCATAGATTTTAAGAGGAATGACAAATATTTAGTACCACAGCTAGTAAAAAGTATGCTAGAACCTGTTCTGAGATGAGAAATTTTGAAACAACTTCAAGGCAAATTTTCAAAAACATTTTGATTTTGATGAAAAAAATTCATAGCATTAAAATGATCAACTTTAGGAGCAACAGATTATTTTTTAAACTAAAAAGTTGGCAAGCCCTATTTGTCACGTTACTATTTATACTGAATAATGTGGTAATGGAGAGTTGGGTTACTATTTTAAAATATGTTTAATATTGTAGGTGGTAGGCATGACAGAGAAAAGAAAAAAAATGAAAATGCAGATGAACAACTTGAAGTAAGGCATTTGAAAGAAACAGCAGAGGATGAAAAACAACAGCATGTGAGTGTGGAGGAAGAGCAAAGTCAGAATGAAGAACAGTCTAAAAGACACATGGAAGGACATGAAGAGGAGAAACACCATCATGAGGAAGAAAAGAGTAGGGAAGAGGAGGAGAAATCCCATGCTTTTGCCCAGGGTCATCCTTCTCCTGAAGGTGGAACCTATAAGGAGGAAAACAATCATCAGGAAGAAATAAGAAGTGAGGAAGAAGAGAAGGAGAACGGCTATAAAAAACACTATCACAGTGAAGAAGAAAGCAAAGAAAACAAGCATCATGATGAAGACTCGAAGCATGAGCTTCTAGACAAAAAATCCCATGCTGCAGCCAAACGTGTAGGGGAATTCCTTGATGGGGATGACAAACGCTTCATGGGTCATACTCATTCAGAGGAAAGGGTGAACAGCCATGAAAGTGAGGAGAAAGAGGAGGAGGAGGAAGAGGAGGAAAGCAGTGAACAGTACCATCATGAATCTAAAGAACGTAGCTTCTATCAGCGTAGAGGGCATGAAGAATCTGAGGAGACGGAAAAAGCTGGGGAGGAAAAGCGACGCTACAGACCAAAACATTATCACAGGAAGTACAGAGAAGGTGATTTCTCTGAAGAGAAGAGAGATCACAATGGTGAAAAAATGGAATCCAGTGAAGAGACCCCTTTATGGGATAAAAGGAGCCATTATCAGAAGCACCGGTATGAAGAGCCTGAGCATCATCATGAGGAGAAGAGGGGCTCTCATGGGGGAGACAGTTCTGAAGAAGTGGAAGAAAAGAGGCACACTGGCCATGGGAGTGAGGAGTACAGAGAGAGGTGGCAGAGCGAAGAAAGCAGTGAAGAGGTAGACAAGAGGCATCATCACAGTGAGGAAAGCAAAGAAAAACGGCATGAGGACAAGAGGTACCATGGTGGATCACATGAGGCAGTAAGACACCATCATGAAGGAAAGACACATCACAGTGAAGACAGTGAAGAAGACCTGGATAAGCGCCAGAGTCATGGCAACAGGAATGAGAAGAGGCATCACAGTGAAGGGAGACACCACCTGCAAGAGAGTGAAGAGGAGGAGGTCCCAGATCTATACAGCAGAGAGAGTAAAGGGCAGGCAAGGCACTATGGCACTGAGGAGAGGTACAGTGAAGAGAAAAGGCACTATCTTGGAAACAGCCAGGAGGAAGAAGAAATAGAAAAGAGTCTTCACAGTGAGGAACAAAAACAATTTGATGAAGACAGTATGGAGAAAGTAAGGTATGGGGAAAAGGAGGAGTATAAGAGCCATCTCCCAGCAGAGACTGAGAAGAAAGCCACAACTCCATATGGCCCTTTCTATCCACGGCTCCAGTGGAAAAGCAGGCATTTGGAAAAAATGGACAACACAGGAGGTCAGATTCGGGAGAGCGAAGAGGAAGGCAGACCCACCCTGAGTGAAAAGAACTTCTTCCCTGAATATAATGACTATGACTGGTGGGAGAAAAAGCAACTTCTGGATCGTCTGAATCGTGGGCATAGTGAGAAAAGGAATCTGGGAAAGATCCGCAAATTTGATATGAAGAGGCAATACAGCAGAATGGATCAACTCGCCCAGCTTCTGAATTACAGGAAGAAATCTGCTGAGTTTCCCGAACTATACAGTTCTGGAGAAGACATGAAAAAGCGTCATGTTATCCGGAGTGACAAGGGAAATCTGAGCCAGAGGCCCCTGACAGAGGAGGAGGTAAGTGCTTGAGTCTCTTTGAAAAGCCAAGTGAAGCTGATGTTCACTTAACAACATGCTCAGCCCTTAGCACCACAAGAGTGTTGGTGGAATTATAAAGGGGAACGATCACAGAGATGGTGCTGATGTCTGTCCCCTCCAGGAACGGATCTTCAGCTGATATGAATCAGTGTTGCCTGACAGGATACCTTGGCACTACATAGCTGTGCCCTTTTTAAAATCGTTTGAGAGAGATAATACAAGTGTCTGCACAGGCTCCTGTTCTTCCACAACAGGACCTGGGGTAAGGATGTCTTTCACTTAGCAGGGTCCTAGCCAGTACAGGACCTTTCAACGTGCAACCGCAAACTGTCCAGAACAAGAGCTGAAATAATCAACTCTACAAAACAGTTGCTCCTTGCTTGATTTAAATCTAGACCTGTTGACTGCTTGACTTCTTGAGTGTAATGCAGAGTAGAGTTTGGCCCATATTTGTCTTGAACAATTCCTGCATGGCATTCCCATTATTCCCATATTTGCCATTTAAATGGCCATTCTGTAGAAACCAGAATGTCAGCACATATGTGGTGGATGCAGCAGCGCATGAAGCACCTGATATTTTTGGTAGCAGAAATTAACTGAGTTGTGTTCACATGGAAATAGAGAACAGTCCTCTTAATAATCATCAGTAGGTCCATGAATTTTTTCCTGGGAAAATTGTGATTTTTGTGGGTGTGAATTTCCTCTTCATTCATATTATGCTTTATGTGCATCATCAGATAGAACCACTGAGATCACAACAAACTTATGCTGACATCTAAAGAGTTTGAGCAGGCCTTTTTCCCAAATGGATGCGATTTCAAGTGCTAGAGGACTAGTGGCATGGGAAATGCTATAAACTAGAAGTGTTCTTAAAATACTTGGTGTAATAGGGCCATCAGCCTTTGAAACACTAACTCCAGTTAGGCACCATCTCAGATATCAAGGATATTTGGTGTAATCCTTGGGCACAGATGGGGTAGCAGGGAGAACAGGAGACTGCACAGAACTAGGGAGGTTGCTATATGCTAGAGAGTTGAAGTCTGGGTATAGTATAGCCTTTTTAATTAAATGATAAGTTATTTATAAAACTATATCAATTATAAAATGTATCAGTTATAAAATGAGGCTGATCACCCCTTGCAGGTGATATAATAGATGACATGCACTGCATACCTCAGGTATAACTGAACAGTGCTAGGTGGTTTCCATTATTCTATAAAAGTGCACATGAATGCTAAAGCCTCCCTGTTCACCTAGGAAAATGACAATTTTTTATACCGGTATGTGTAAGATTCCAGGAACTGGTATTAATAACAGTAAATAGCAGGTAATACAAGGAAATCCTTCAGAGATTCAGGTATTTTGTGTCTGGAAGGTAAAACTGGTAAGTTTCTGCTTATTCATATCCTAATTCATTTTTTTCACTTTTTTACTAAACATGATTTTTTAGCAACCTAAGATAGAATTCTCCCTCCCTTTAGGCACCTAAATGGAAGTTTTCTAGCCTGGGTGTTTTTGGCCCTGCCTCTGCACTGTGGGTGCATAAGCCTGCATGTATATACTGAGAATACTCAGCTGACTATACTCTGTCCATCTGGGCTAAGGACAGAAGTTACACACAAACCAGTTTAAGTGATCAGAAGCTGGTTTAAACCTGTAACAGAACAGAAGTTCAGTGCACATAAACCAGTTTCAAAATGGCTAAAACTGGTTTAAGATAAACCTGGTTGAATGTAGCATCAGGCTTAACTGATTTGGGTCAAACCGGTTTATGAAATTTCTGTCCTAGACCCCTTCCTGGTTTAAGTTCAATCAGAGTTCCCCCAGCATCCCAATATGCTTTTCAGCCCTCGACCGGGCTGTGCTGTTTGCTCCAGAGAGCAGGGCTAGTTCTGCCCCAAAGCATGGCCCCCTGAGGTGGAGAGGCAGGGAGGGATTTTATTCCCCCTCCCTCCCATCTCCCCCCGGAGGACTGCAGCTGGGGTCTGCCTGGCTGGGGTGGAGCACCCCCTCCCTACAGTCACTGCTACAGTGGCAGAGGCGGAGGTGTGGTCAGACACCGGCCATCAGCCCACCTCGCCCATGGCTGAGGTTGGGGCTGAGCCAGGCTGGCCCACAGGCACTGCTGAGGGCAGGTGCAGAGGGGCTGGCCCAGGCTGGGCTGTAGGGGTAGGGCCCATCCAGGCTGGCTGTGGCTTGGGCTGGGGTCGCGGGAGCTGTGTGTCCAGATTGTTTCTGGCTCCCGCAGCTGACTGGGAAGAGCCCTACCCCCATGGTGCAGCCCAGCTCGGTCCCTCCACGCCCGCCCTCAGCAGAGTCGCAGGTGAGGCAGGTGGATAGTGGGGTTGGCCCAGGCCAAGCCACAGGGTCAGGGCCTTTCCCAGCCAGCTGCGGCTCTGTGACAGCCTGGCCCAGCGCACTCGAGTGGAGGTTGGCCAAGCAGTGGCACTGAGACAATGCTGCTGCAGCTGTGTGTGGGTGCCCTGGCAGCTGGACTGGCTGTGCGGGCTGAGGGCCCTGTGCCGGCGCCTGAGAGGGAAGACAGGGGTGTTTAATCTCCCTCCCTGCCCCACCTTTGCCCAAGGCACTGCCTCCACCAGTGTCATGCCCCCCACCCCCCCTTGGGGACAAACCTTGCAGGGGCTGCTTCCCCCCTCTAGCCACACCTGGGCTGGGGTCCCT